TTCGGGAGTATTCAAGTTTGTTTTCAAGTTTCAGTTGAAATACATTGACTTATCGACAAGTCACCTTCTTTTTCTCTTTTTGAAACCATATCGTGTTTCATCTTTTTTCTGCTAAATGTTGATACATTCATGTGACTGTAAATTCACAAGGAAACGATCTCCTTGGATCAACTTGGCAGAACTTATGAACAAATTTGCTGTACAAAAATAAAAATGCACCTTAGGCGATAGATTGATTGATCAAAATATTTTTTAAATTGACACTGGTTATATCAATTATTTATCAATAATAAAGTAATACACTATTTTTCAAAGTACGCCTTAAAGTCTCAAGTTGAGTTCACAAAACAAGATTATTCACGACCAACAAACATATTTAGAAGTTTTTAATTTACTTCTTAAACCTGTTGTTATTGTACCTTTTATGATATATCCACCCAGCATTAAATTCAATTTTGTACTGTTGATTAGTTACTTTTAATTCTGACTATAAGTATTGTTGGGATTTAAACGTACTTACTGACGTTGATTCATGTAAAATGCCAACAGCTGGAAAATTTTAAACTTTCCTCACAAAATTTTCTGTTCCATTCTTGAATTTGGGTAAAATTGCATGAATTACACTCGTTATACATGCTAATTGGTGGCCTTCGGCTGTTGTCTGCTCTATGGTCGGGTCGTTGTCTCTTTGACACATTCCCCATTTCCATTCTCAATTTTAAATAAGAAATAAAAAGAGATGCGACAATGAGTAATACAATCGTGTATATTTACATAGACAAGTACCGTTAAAAGTAATATGATATGCATTAAAAGGGTATTATATGCATGTCTCTGCTTATAGTATGTAGCGATAAAGAGTTGTTTGTGTTCAAAGTTCCAATTTGATCGCTAGGGGAAATAGCTTACTTTTTATACTGGTGAAAATCATTATCACACAAATGAGAGTCATAAATGGTAAAATTCTCTCCGAGCAATCCGGCTTCCTCCACCAATAAAAACTTAGCGCCACGAAATAGCACAATAGTGTTGAAAGTGGCGTTAAACACCAATCAATCAATCAATTATAAATGGTTAAAAGTTTCTGAGTAATTTTAAATTAACTATATAATTTGCGCATGTTTTGGTTTTGTTCTTCTCAGAGAGTAGTGATAATATATAACGGAGTAGCCTCTGTATCCACAATCATTAGATACTAAGTGAAATGCAGTCATATGATTTTGTTCGCCTTTGCACCGGAGATGAATTTGGCATGTTTTTTTGGACCCCTGTTCATGTCACATTGCTCCTCACGTTTCTACATATTCATACGCCTGACCGTTCTAACAAACAATTAGGACTGAGCATTTCTGATGAATGTAAATCAAGAAAACGTGCTTCGGGCGCACGAAATCCATAATGCGTTATTATCATTTACTACTAGCACTGGGTTGATACCACTGCTAGTGGAATGTTAGTCCCTCATGGAATCATCAGCTTACTAGCCAGTGCTTCGGTACATTTCTGGCATTCAAATGTTTGTGTTTAAGAAAAATCCAGAAAAGTGCTTCAGACGACGATAATTCAATAAGTTGTATTTTCATTAATTAACAGTCATTAGACTTTTGTCTGCAATATCATGTACAATCTTAAATCTATTGTACTAATAGGTGTGCCTCGATGCAGACTATGTGCAAGGCAAGTTATTCTTCTTGTCTAGGTGTTGCCCTCGATATTCTGATCTCGAACAATATATTGGTCTTCCGTTACTCCTCATTGCAGTCAGTAGCCGTGTGGTTTTATATCGTCATCATACTAAGAAGCAATGATTATATCATGGAAGCCTGGCATTTTGTCAAACCTCTTCATGTTAGCAGCTAGCCGGGATCCTCGGCTAATATCAGGTTGTCGCAACGATGTTTTAATGCTAGCATTTGTTCTAATTTTTGTTGTGTATTTTATACTAGCAATTATCTGCGAATAATGGTATTACAAATCGTTAATGGGTTTATTTTAATGTTTAAAATGATAATTTCAACACATAACCGATGCTATCCATACTACCTGAACAATATCGATTAGTTAATACCTTCTTATAATTATCTTACACCAGTCCTCAATCAAAGTTTTCCAATCTTTACTGAAATGTACAGTATCAAGACTTAATATTCATGTATGTATTTTAAGGTTCTAACAATATGATGGTTTATTTCTTAACAGAACACCAGCAAACCGCTTGACGAACAGCAACAATCTTAACAGATTTGTGCGAAATTTGAGTACTAGTTTTTATCAAAAAGATGTAGAACATCTTTAACTGAAAACAAAATTTTGTTGGAAATTGAGCAAAATATTTATTTCTGAAACAACTAAATTCATTTTCGTTAGAGACGTCCTTGGATGCAAAGTTTTACAATAACATATAAAGTTTACCATTTTGTATAAAATGTCTTCAATAGCAATATGTTGCCTTCAATTACATTTTGATTGACGTATGGAAATGTGTAAAATTGTTGAATTTTTTTTTAGGAATATGACATTGACCCTTTAATTTTCTTATTCTAAATGGATTTTACCCAGGGAGTGACTGAAAAAAACACAGATGAAATGGCCCTACTTCTTTGCAGAATAGAATTCACTTATATATATATATATATATATTGTTTCAGATAAGGGTGAATGTTTGGTACCATTAAAACGTTTAAACCCGCTGCAATTGTTTGCACCTGTCCTAAGTCAGGAATCTGATGTTCAGTAGTTTCGTTTGTTGATGTGGTTTATAAGTGTTTCTCGTTTATCGTTTTTTTATATAGATTAGACCGTTGGTTTTCCCGTTTGAATGGTTTTACACTAGTAATTTTTGGGGCCCTTTATAGCTTGCTGTTCGGTGTAAGCCAAGGCTCCGTGTTGAAGACCGTACTTTGACCTATAATGGTTTACTTTTATAAATGTTGACTTGGATGGAGAGTTGTCTCATTGGCACTCATACCACATCTTCTTATATCTATATATGTATACGATCATTTACAATGGTTTTATCAACGATTAATCTAAGGGAGCTACCATTTGATTTTTATGGGGGGGGGGGGGGGGGGGGGGGGGGGCTAGGATGAAATTTGAAAAAAATAGGCAGGACAGGAGTTTTGAGTAAAAAAAAAGGCAGGATGAGATTATTTGCAAAAAAAAAAAGGCAGGATGACAATTTACGTAAAAAAAAAGTCAGGATAAACTAAAAAAAAAAAAGGCAGGACCGAATAGAGTGAAAAATAAAAAGGCAGGACCGAATAGAGGGAAAAATAAAAAGGCAGGACAAAATTTTTCATCCTAGCCCCCCCATAAAAATCAAATGGTAGCTCCCTAACGCGATCTGTACTTTCATCATTGTCATTGAAAACTAACTAACATGTCTGTCTATCAAATTTTTTTTTATTAGTGTATTGTACATACATCAGGCCCTTGTTTTTTGTTTTGTTTTAATTGTTTTGCAATTTGTCATGTCGAGGACTTTTATTGCTTACTATACGTTATACGTGGTTTGCTCATTTTTAATGGCCGTTATTTGCTTACATCTGAGTTATTTGATCTTATTTCGTCTCTTGATAGTTGTCACATTGGCAATCAATTCACATATTCTTATTTTTATATTTTAACCACTGTTATGAAAATCCAACAGGCAAAATGCATGAAATGAAACGTTGCAATTGAATAAGTAGCTTAAAATTGCCGACATTGTTAATTTTCAATTCAGCTGTATATAAATTCAATTTACCAACACTTGAATTGTTTTTCTCTATATATATTGTTTTCAGCCCGTGCTATAGTAAATCACTGTTTTCATTCTATTTCAGTTTTAAATTAAGTAGATTTAATCTTTTCAAACAAATGTTTTGAAAATATTGATGTTGCTTAATTCACAAGAGACAAATTTACTGATTTGTGAAAATGTTATGAAATTGTTTTTAGTTTGACCAAATTACCAAATAATCTGGTTAGCGTTTCCTGGGCCTTCCAGGCTAATTGTTCATTAATTGTAACTTCTGTGATACTAGATTTTCATTGACCGTAGTCGTACATAATTTGCTATATCAATATCAAAACTTACATAAAAATCAAAACTGCACTACACATAAGGATGAATAGTTAGGAAAGAAGATTTTATTTTCAAAAAACAAACATTACTTGGAAGTCATTTGTCTAGTGAACTATTATTGCTCAGCAAGGATGTATACATTATGAACGTTTTTTTTCCCAAAAGACTGACATCATCAAACCGTAGTAGCCTAAAGAAAAATCTATGAATTTCGATAAACTCCTATAATTCTCCAGTGAGATTACGAGGCATTTCTTTACTAATGATCCGTTTGGAATATCATTAAACGGGATGTATTTATAATTAATGTGAACTTAAATTTTAAACAATATTATATTGTCAAGAAAAAGTGTCAAGGGTGTATTGAAGAAACATTATTGGATGTGAGCAAGTTCTAATTATACAATATTACAAAACATTCTGGATACAGTAATTTAGTTCATGCACTTAAAATTGTAATACATTAATAAAACATTCATAAATTGATACGTATGGTGTGAATGGACCGAACAGTATTTCTTGTTATAAATCTAAAATTGTTCATTTGATAACCGACGTGAGCAGCTAAGGAACTAAAGTACATAGCATTTTAACAAGATGGATTTTAAACATTTTGTTGAGACGATTATTTGTAATTGATGATTTTAATTTTAAATCTTTAAATATCATAAGTAGACGATTTTATAAGGACAATTATATTATATAAAAATATATTTATATAAAAACTGTTCTAACTTGTGATATCACAGAGACAGAAAAAATAGCGGACAAAACGCAAATACTGCGCTTTTATGTCCGTCTATCCTGATTTAACAGCTGTCAAATATGATTTGAAATGAGAAGTTTCTAATTGATAGACAAGAGATAGTTATTCATAGACAGTGTTCTGTTTCAAAAATAACATAGCGAAAATTAAATTAAATCTTCCGTTTAATAACAGAATACACTAGAACCATTCAGTCATGAAGGGAATGGCAAACGCCAAGTTGTCATTTCAAAGGTAAGATTTATTTTTTTATAATAATAATTTTGTTCATGAAATATTAACTCTTTTTAACCGTGTCTTCCCCGGTTATTTTGATAGTAAATCAGTCCGAGCTTGTATTAACATTTTTTCGCCAAGCGTGAAAAAGAGATAGGGTTCATTTTTACTGAGAACCCTGAAGATAACTATAGTGACTATTTTTTTAACTATAGTCTATACTGTTAAAACAATTATTAAAACGAACCACAAGGATGCATGTCATCAAACTGTACCTCTTTTTAAAAAGAAATATTAAGGTTGTCCATAATTGCCACTTAAGCAGCTTTTGTAATGTGTATTACGTAATTATGATGTTAAAACGACAAATAGTGTCTCAAACTTTATAACAAAATCTGATTTGAAAATTTATTGAGAAAATTTAGTAGTCTATTATATGGGTCGTTTTCAAACTCCGTCCATGTTTTAGATAGAAATTGAAAAAATATTTTTATCAATTTAGTTCAATTTTAATTAATCAAATAAACTCTGAATTATTTATATGCACAAAATCTTAAAAATGCAGTCTTAATGATCATTTTGAAAGCATAATGAGATTACAGAAATTACGGAATTTGTCAACTGCATACCGATAGCAATTATGTTGATATCTTAATGTTTGGTACTAATGATGACCTGTTGCTTAAATATTATAAGATAAATTAACTTTTTTCTAATTACTTCGGTTACTACAGTGTTCAACGACCGATTTTGACTTTTGCTTTTTGTCACCTACATAACGATATTGTCAACCACACAACAAAAATGTCTACTACATAACAAAATTAGGTCAATAGTTATGTAGTTCACCGTTATGTAGTGGAAGAATTCACATTTTGGGGCATTATTTAATACCACTGATACTTCGACATCATATAAAACGTGATTTTTCTATAAAACACAGAAAATTGATTATAATGATATAGATGTGGACGTGATGTTCCATTGTTATATTGAAAAAATATACCGTTACCAAGTGGACAAGTGAAACAATACAAGTATCTTGTCTTAGGGAGGAATAAATCCTACTTTGTAAAAAATTACTCTGATTCTAACAAAAAATTCTCTGAAACTGACATTATCAAGATGTTTGATTTCTTGAACGTGTTTTTCAACAAACAATCGGCATTCCCATGGGAACCAACTGTGCCCCTCTTCGGGCCGATTTGTTCCTTTATTCATATGAGACTGACTTCATAATGAACTTTTTAGGAAGAAAAAAAGAAGTTAGCAGTATCCTTTAACTTTACTTTCCGCTACATAGATGATGTTCTCTCATTAAATAATTAAAAATTTGGTGACTATGTTGAACGTATCTATCCCATCGAACTTGAGATAAAGGATACAACAGATACAGTTAAGTCTGCCTCATATCTTGACTTACATCTAGAAATTGACAATTAGAGTCGGTTGAAAACAAAACTGTATGACAAAAGAGATGATTTCAGCTTCTCAATTGTGAACTTTCCATTTATATGTAGCGCCTGTGTACGGAGTATATATCTCCCAGTTGATACGATACTCCAAGGCTTGTATTTCCTATCATGATTTCCTTGATAGAGGGTTGCTGCTCACACAGAAGCTATTAAACCAAGAGTTCCAAGCGGTGAGGTTGAAATCATCCCTTCGAAAATTTTACGGACGCCATGCATCACCAGTTGGTTGACCGTTACGGAATATCCATTTCACAGATGATTGCGGATATGTTCCTAATGTCATAACTACAATCCAGTCCCCTTTTCCCGAATGTAACCTACCGAATTAGACTTATTAAGGTTTGTACTAACATGAGCAACACGACGGATGCCACATGTGGCGCAGGATCTGCTTACCCTTCCGGAGCACCTGAGATCACCCCCAGTTTTTGGTGGAGTCCGTGTTGCTCAGTCTTTAGTTTCCTATGTTGTGTTTTGTGTACTATTGTTTGTCTGTTGGTCTTTTTCTTTTTTTGCCCATGGTGTTGTCAGTTTATTTTCGACTTATGAGTTTCAATGTCCCTTTGGTATCTTTCGCCTCTCTTTTAAAAAAATACAGGGCTACCTCTACTTACTTAAATGCCAATAACTGTTGACACCATTTACAGAGTTATCTTTTTATGCTTCTATTGTTATAATGATATATGGAGTTAGTGCTGAGGAACTTTCAAGTTAAAGAGGGGTGTCAGAAGTTATATTATAGGAAGCAAAAACGTTTTCGTTATGTAGTTGACAAAATATCAAGGACATTATGATGAATTAAAATAAATCTGAAACCATAGCCAGTTACTATATAAAGCCTTTATAATATCATTCTGCATTGTATTTTCTATCTTAAAATAGAAAATTGTAAGATTTGTGTAACTATAAAGATGTCTATTTTGATACGATATTTGGTATTTTTGGAGTGGGGACATGTAGATCGGGGTAATTGTATAGCTTTGAGCACGATTTCCAAGAAAATCCATGTACCTATTCCTTATTTTTTTCTGCAAGTAGTAGACCTTACGTTGCACTGTGCAGGACACCAACATTCAAATAATGATAAAGCCATATTTTCCTCACAGGTCAGCCGGACAAGAACTTTGACGAATTTTGAAAATGACCCATATATACGTTAAAGATTTGGGCATATTGTTACATATAGTACACTTAACCCCATGTTTTGATAGTTTCGAAATATTGGTTAACTCTGATCTTGTGCTAATGGTATTGGAATACGCAAAAAGCTTCTGTCATGTTGAAAATAAAAAAAAAATAATCAACAATCCACAATCTCCCTCATCGGAAAGTCTTTTAAAATCACATAAAAATCGACGAAAACTGCTCTGAAACATCATCAAACTCCCCTTTTATAAAAATGTGAGTTAGTTTCTTTGTCTGTTTGAATTCCTTGGTGTTTTCGGACATTGCATATGTTCAACATTACAATTATATACCCATAAACTATACTATTCAATCCTTTCAAAGATATATATGTAAATAAATACAATAATGCATACTTGAACAAAGAGATAATTAACCTTGGGTTTGGGTGTTATTATATATATTTTTAGCCAAAAAGTAGACCTATAGCTATATCACACTATTTTAAAGAGTTAAACATCTTAAGCATTTACGGCTATGGTTTTGATCACATCTGTAATGAATAATAACACATGATTCAGTAGTTTTATATATTAATGATATAATCAATAACCTTTTAAATCTAATTTCACGCCCTTGATAATTAAGAGCGAGAAATGAGCCTTATATAGTATTTAGGTATAAATGGCGACCTGTTCCAGCGGCTCATGCCTACCAGTCCGTAAATAGTAAGTGGTCCCCCGAATAATTAACAAGTAAAACATATGAATTTTCAAGCACATGTTGTATCAATACACTCATTTTAAACGGTCTTGAAGCTTGGTTTGTGAAGACACAGATTCTTGCTAGGGATACTGATAAACAGACAAAATAACCATCATCTACCCTCTTTTACAAGTTGTTAACGTTCATGTTATTTAATAATACAATATCATATTCTAAAAACAAATCCCGGTGTCCATTGATCACCAGGCAAAGTATTACATGTTAGAGTTAAAGAATCTGTAAAGTTTACTATGCTCAATCGACAAACAACCACAAACACGCTACTAAACGGTATTATACATGAATACATGCAGCCTATATACATGTATTAAGAATATCTCCTATTTGAAAATATGAGAATAATGATTTGTTGTCGAATACGTTAGTATTGATTGTTATGTTTGTTTTCATTTAATCTGTCTATTTATATTCGATAGCTTGTAGATAAATATTTACTGTGAAATAGGCACCGTATGGCACATTGTAGTTGTTTGTAGTTCCAATAAAATGTTATGTTTGTTTCATAACAAAACATGTATCCCTGAAATACTATTAAAGGCCATAAATTATAATGTTTGGTTCAACATCTATATTGTCGAAATTGAGTAAAGATGTCGTGGATAAGAAAACATATGCAGGATTCTGAGTGGTCACATTGAAATTTGTAATATTTTTTTGTTTGATATAAGATGTTGGACGTCTAATACCAATACGTTAGAAAAAAATCAGAAAGGGAAATTACTGATGACCGACAGACTAATTAATGTCTTAAAAACATCTGAAGGATATTATTTGGTAATTATAACTTATATCTAGACTATAGGTATCATAGGGCCTAATACTTTTTGATTTTTCACCAGTTATGCTCGTGACCATTTGGAAATCAGATATGACGTCATTCTTTTTGACGTCATTTCAACGACAAGCTTTCCAGAAATTTAGAAAAAAAAAAATAATGAAGACTGCCTTACGTACAGCAGTTTTAGATAGGTATGCTGAATAATTGATTTAGTAATGTGTTTGGTTTTTTCCTTCCTCTTTTCTATTGTTCCATAGAGTACGTAGTATGACCGTGGTCACTATGGTTTTGAAGGGTTTAGTAATACATATCAAAGTACTGAAGTACCGAACATCGGATGACCGCAAGTTCTTGAGTGGGTATTCATATTTTCCCGCAAAACGTTCAATCTCCCATGCAGAGTTATCGGTCCATGAGAGAGCAAGGACCGATAACTCTGCATGGGAGCCATGATTGCAAACTTTCTTCAGATATTCTTCCGCATGCGTTAACATAATTTTTTCTGTACGTGTGCATAGTTATAAATGATTTTTTACTTATATATATATATAACAAAACATTTTCATATTATTAATTTATGTTCTAAAAAAAATATTTTATGAGTATTCATTGCAGAAATGAACTTTTATAACAAGCGATAAGGAATGTTATTTTGCACTCGATGATGTCCGCGTATTTATAGATTATAGATCGGTTACCAGTCAAACACGAAAGTTAGGTAATGGAAATCTCTCTGGCAACAATACATCGGAATGCCCTCACGGTCATCGCGATGTAAAAACCCTAGGGATATAACAGATACCATAACAAAAATAGAGTGACGGCGCACATGTAGTACAAGTTACATACGAGTG